GCCTAAGATATGGAGTTTTTGCTATACAATGCAGTGCTTCCGATTTCTGACTACTAACTTTGTTAAAATAGTGAATAGAATGCAACAACAACAACAACATCAAGCATTTATCCCACTACGTGGGGTCGGCTTCATGAATCCTTTTTCTCCATTGTGTCCTATTAAAGGTCAAATTCTCGTTTAAATCTAATAAAGAAAGGTCATTCCTAATATTTTCTAACCAAGTTTTTTTAGGTTTGCCTCTACCTCTCTTAACAAGTCTTTTTAGGTCTGCCTCTACCTTTCTTAACATAAGTCAAATCTAATACATCTACTCTCCTAACCGGGCCATTGGAAGTCCGCCGTTTTATGTGACCAAACCATCTAAGACGACTCTCTCTAATCTTATCTTCTACTGGAGCTACTCCAATCTTTTCACGTATATGCTCATTTCGTATCCTATCTTTAAGGGTAAAGCCACTCATCCACCTGAGCATCCTCATCTCTGCCACACTTAACTTAGTATTATGCTTCTCTTTTAATGGCCAACATTCAGCACCATAAAGCATTGCAGGCCTCATTACCATCTTATAGAATTTTTCCTTAAGTTTGAGGGGTACTTTTCTATCACACAACAAGCCCGATGCATTCCTCTACTTCTACAATCCAACTTAAATTCTGCTGATAATATCCCCATCTATTCACCATCACTCCGAATAATAGATCCGAGATATATAAAACATGTACTCTTATTAATAACTTGATCGTCCAAAGTCACAATCCCCTCACTAGGTCTATTACTATAAAAATAGTGAATAGAATAATGATATTATATAAAAATATTCTCATGATAACTCTACTTTTTTTATAACTGTTGATTGCCTCCTAAATAGGGGAATTATGATTAATCAGATTTGTGTTATATGTAAACACCATAATAAAACTAAGTCACTCCCAACTCTTCTTCGATTGTGAAGTTTCTTTAGGCTCCTTAAAAATTGCATCCCTAAAGAAGAATTCTTTCACTTGGGAGGGGTCGTTAAATCAGGCCTTAGAATCATTTAAATTCAATTGGTTGTAAGATTATTAGGAGAATCTTCATTCTGGCTGTGCATATTACCGATTATTTCACCTGGCAACAAAAGAATAACAAAATTGGTTTTAATCTGCTATTGTTGAAGAGATCTATTTTGTTTGGTAATCTGCTAGCTGCATAATATGATTTTGAAGGATATTTGATGGGAAAAAAAGTCCTTTTTTTATTATTTTGGTTTTAGTTTTTTATTTTAATTAGGGGTGTCAATTCGGGTCAACGGGTCGGGTTCGAGTCGAACCCAGAATTGACCCGGCACTATTCAGGTCAATCCGAGGAACCCGACCTGACACAAATGACCCGAGGTTGATCCAAAATTGCTAGTTTTAGGGTAAAAAATCGGGTCAATCTTTGATTTTCGGGTCAAAAACAGGTCAAAACAGGATCAATCTCAGGTTTTCGAGTCAAATACAAGTTTTCGTGTAAATAACGGGTCAATTTCGGGTTGCTGGGTCAACCCGAACCCGAACCGGTTTTCAAAATGGGTTGATTTGTTGAACTCGAACCCGACCAATTTTCGGTCCGGGTTGACCCTAACCCGTATATTTTTGGGTTGAGTTTCGGGTCGTGTCAAAAATTGACACCCCTAATTTTAATTATGAAAGAGCTTCAAAGATAGAAGGCCCAGAAAAATTCCTCAAATTGAACTCAATCCCTAGAAAGTGGATTTATTATTGTGAATTTATTTATTTATTTTTTCAGCTTTTACGATCACTTATTAAATTAAAGAAACCTGATCCAACTAAAACACATCAAATACCTCACTTTCAACCTAATAGATGACACTACTAAAGTTAAAAGCATCAACAAACAAAATACAATGGAAAATTGCTCATTATAAAGCTCACCAAAAAGTGATTTTCTTCTCAGAGAAGCAAAGGGAGAGGCGACAAAAACCATTTATTCTCTTCTTGGCCGCAGCCAAATGTTAGACTACAAACTGCCTTTTGTACTCTTTATGTCACAGCCTATCTTCTTTGCTTGGAGAAGCCATGTTGCCTTCCTCTTCCCTCTCTTTAGATGGCTTCTAACTAAGGGGTGCAAATAAGTCGAGTCGAGCTCAAGTCCGGCCTTGTTCTAGCTCGACTCGCGAGACAAATACCGAGCTCGAACTTGAGTCGAACTCGACTCGCCATGGGAAAACGAACTTGTCGAGCTATCTGTCGAGTAAGAGCTCCGATCCCGCATTCGAGCTTTTGTTTCCTGCTCGCGGTTTTGTTTTCCCACCCTCCTCATCTTCCCGCCCGCAGTTTCGTTATCTCGCTTGCCCGATCGAGCTCTGATCCCGCTTCCCCCCACGTACAAATTGCCTTCCCACCTTCTGTCCCGCTCATGATGCGATCCGTTTTCCTGCGTGTGAAACCGATGTTCAGTTCCACCTTTGCGTCCGACTGCGTTTTCAATGTGCAGTTCCGTAAACCACTCGACGAGTAATCGAGTCGAGCATAAGGTTGTTCGAACTCAAGCCCGTGGAGCTCAAAATCATGTTTGACTCGTTAGTTCAATAAGCTCAACTCATCGAGCCCGTTAATGAGTCAAGCACGAGCCGGCACACAAGTCAGCTTGACTCGGTTGCACCCCTACTACTAATAGTATTTTTCTTCTTATGACTTTGCGCTCACTATCCTTATTCCATTATAAAATAAGAGTGCATCATTGTCCTCATAATGAACGTGTTGTTAGGATAGTGATAAACTTCGAGCAAAAATTATTCTCTAGACGAGTTTCCCTCACACCCACCTTTGCTTATCTTGTGACACCAATTAACTAGCTTCTCATATTTTTTCTTTACGAGTTCTCCGCTCTGAAACCATTTCATTCATTACATCTACCTAAAACTCTTCTCTTTATTGGGCATGCCAATTATATTTCTCATTTCCCTCTTTATTTATATTACTTTAGTTTACTAACTACCCTTACTTTCATACACCCTATCGAGCACACTTTCTCCTCAAACTAGAATTATCTTCGGTCAAAGGCTCAATACTTAGCACCCAATTTTCTCCTTGCCGGCCGCATCGACCCAATTGAGTTGAGGGCAAAATCTTGTCATTCATAGCCATAAAATTTTCATATCTTAATTTTTTTTTCCTTTTGCATTCAACACAAAACCTTAGATTAAATAGTCCACTAACCTAAAAAAAAAAGAGTTAATTAGTGATTTTTCTTTATATAAAATTAAAGATATTGATAGAAATAAAATTTATTTTTACCAACAGATATTGATGTTGCTCCTACTATATATTATCTTCCTTTCTTGTAATAAGAGTCCAAATGAAAACTTTGTCTTTTCATAGAACCAAAACTAGTAAAACTTCTTTCTTAATGAATAAGCAAACTCAATATGACTATTTTCTTTTCTATTTTCCCTTTTTTTTTTTTATAAGCTTATGGCTGTGAAGATTTTAGTATGTAAATTTTGGCTCTATAATTCTAGCACATGATATATGCTTGTTCTTGTAGGTTGTACATATAGTTATAGGAATGAAATTTGAAGAGAAATCATAAGAAGATCACAAAAATATAATAAGAGAATTATAAGATTATAAAACTAGTAATTATTTATCCAAATTATTAAATATTGAAATATTGCTCAAGTTACAATCACAAGATATGATGCCATTTTAATATTAAATAGTTAGAATGGGATACTCAGACATAGCTATTAAAAAAATAATTAAGCTTTTAATATCAATAATGAGTTTTAATCATTAGTCTAAGGCTTCTTTTGGGACAGCTTTTGATCAATATTTTTTTTTATGCTTTCAAAAAATTATTCTATTAAAAAGTTGTTTTATAAATCAATAAGAAAATGTCTAAAACAAATACTTATAACTATCAAACCAATATTATATTAATTTTAATATGAACTTTTTGTATTCATCACCCAAATATGTGATATTAGCATTCATAATTCAGCTTAATTTAATTGTTCCATGTGATTTGTGCCTTACATGAGTTCTATGCTTCGTTTGGGACAGCTTCCTTACTGATTTATAAAGTAGCTTTTTAATACAAAAATTTCGAGTTCAATAATTTCTTATATTAAAAAGCTTCTTTAGAAAGCAGGAATAAAGGTGTCTCAAACGAAGCGTTTGTTACTTCTATGATATCAAACAATGTTCAATAATTAGGATTTCATATGGTTGAGTGAGTTCTCATTGCTTAATATTGGATGGTATTGAAATACTTACGTCTAAGAGTGAGTAAGGGCTTAGGCGGATCCACATTCAAATTTGCCCACCCTTAAAAAATATATATTCATTAGAGAGGACTTTTTTGGAATTTTGCCTCCCTCCCTCTCAAAGAACTTTTTTGTCATAAATTTATTGATCGTGCGCCACTTTTTTCCATCCCACCTCCCGTCGTTCTCATAATCACAGTAGAAGTCCTCTAGTTCCATCGTTCGCAACTCGCAATATCAGGTCTCTTTCGCAGTCTCAAGAGGTCGCCGGCCTTTGCTTTTGCAAATCGCAAGAATTTGACCATCCTTAAAAAAATAGTACTCCCCCTATGCGAGAGAGTGATCTCCAAAAGTAGATTACTCTCATGTTAGGACGAAATCATCCACAAGAATTTAAACAATAGTAGGAACTTCCAAGCACCCAAAATTAAAGTTTCATTTGAGACGACATTCTTACTATTTTTCAGAAGCTTTTTGGTACAAAATTTATAAATAATAAAAAGAGCGTATCTATGAAGAATAATAAAAGCCAAACAGGCGAGATGACCAGTGGACTGGCAGGATGACCGATGGACAGGCAGACTCAGCATTTCTTATACACTTTATCATCCTCCATGATCAATTAATGCATCAAAGAACATTACAAAATCAATGCAAGAAGACAATACTTATCTCTATAAATAACTCCCCAACTTCAAAATACCATTAACCCAACCATCCACTCTTCAGTTCCCCTTTCATCCCATGAGGAGACAAAGCAGTGAACCAGCTGTTCTTCACTCCTCCATTGCTCTCCTGCAAGAAAGATTCAGACAACTTCAAAGAGTAAAAGAAAAGAGGGAAGAGAGAGAGCAAATAAGAGCCATCAATGAACATCTTCATCTTCAACAACAACAGCCAAAGTGGTTCGTTCACCCTGAGCTTCTGCATCCTTCAAGTCATCTAAGAAATAGTTCTTCTTTTCTCCTTGGTGAAAGTAAGGACTTCAATGAGTTTCAGAGCTTGGAAGCTTCCCTGTCATTGCGCTCATGGCCTCCTGCTTCGGTTATTCAGAGCTCTAATGGCTTCAACGAAGAAGTTGACACTTCTCTTCATCTGTAGATTATTCTTTTGGCTTTAAATATACTGCTATTTGATCTCTTGGGTCTCTCTATCTTCGAGTGTTCGGTGTTTTTTGAACTATGATGCTTGTTTTTTATCAGAAATTACTGGTTTTTGTGCCAATCCATATCATCTATGCTTTCCAAATTTGTTTTTTAATGCTTCGTTTTGCTAGTTTTTCATAATCAAAGGTCATTTTACGACCGTTAAGTTATGAATTTTGAAAACTAAATGAACCGTTGGAAGTATTTGGCAGCTTTTTAGATGATATGAGTTGGAAGCAAGATTCTTTGATGCAATTAATTACTAGAAAATTGTTTTTCAGAGAATTTTTAGCTATTTTTGATAGTCCTCTTATCTTCTTGCTTTCACAAATTGCCTTTTCCTCAGCTTTTCATTATGATAGTCCTCTTATCTTCTTCCTCCCATGTCTTGATCTCTGCTCTGTTTTACTTTCTATGGGTTGATTGCTTGAACTTCGAGATGTAGTAATAATATTTCAAATAATATGATTAATAATGTAATAATTATTAAATAATTTTAATTTAATTAAAATGTTGCGTTACTAAAATTGATTATTTAGCTACATTATTATTAAAAATTGTGACATTAAGGTCCTATTTTAGACAAATTTATTATTATTTTATTTTTTAGACTGCAATTAAAATTTCATTCGTTTATTTTTTTTTTAATTTTCAAAAAAATTTATAATGAAATGTTGGATTAGAGTTATTATTATCTGATAACTTTAAGAAAATAACTGTTAAATAAAAATAATATTTATAATATTTACATTAGCTTTCAAAAATTTATTCTGCCCACAGTAGCTTCCAAACTATTTTTATAAAACTTTATAGCCATCCCAGATGAACATAAATATTTTTATTTATCATAAAATTAACGAAAGTTATGAGTAAATATTAAGCGAGGAAGTAATTTTGCAGAAAAATATAGAAATGTAACAATGAAGCAATGATTACGTAAGCCACAAATGTGAATGTGACAAAGAAACAATGGTGTTGTTGTGGACTAAATATTCGCGGCGATATATAGAGAAATATAAAGTTTAATGTTTTAGTTTTGTATGAATATCCACCATGCAATTAGATAAAAGAGAGGGGTGTGATATTCATAAGAGGCACCGGAGTTTTTACATGGAAACTCTTGAAAATGGGGAAAAAATCATGAGGCGTTGCCTTGTTTAAATGAATCCACTAATATTTGTAGTTGATTACAAATGAGGCATGTTCCTTAGGGAGAAGGTCTTAACTTGATGAAACAAATATACATCATATAGAGTGCATTACATGGTGGGAGTTGGAAGAATCGGTATTGAAATGTTTGTTTGGTTAGCAAGTTCATAGTTGGTGAGCGATGTAGGTCGGAAGGATCATAGTCGGATGATGGATGTCGAAAATACTGTAGTCATGGGACGAAGGCTAGGGAGACTATAGTCTGAAGATGGTGGTCGAAGAGACCTTAATTGGTGGGCGATGGAGGTTGGAAAGACCGTAGTCGTAAACGGTGGTCGTAAGAATTGTTGTCGACGGGTGAAGGAAGTAAAAAAAGAATGTAGTCAAGCAACTGTAGTTGGGGAGACCATAGTCTGGAGATGATAATCAGAGAGACTATAGTCAGCGGACGACTGAGGTCAAAAAAATCATATTTGGGTGATGGTGATTGGGGAAACCATAGTCTGGAGATGATAATCAGAGAGATCGTAGTCGACATGCAACAAATGTCGAAAAAACTACAGTCGGGTGAATGTGGTCTAAAGGACCATACTTAGGTGATGAAGGTCGTAAAGACCTTAGTCGGGTGAAGGTGATCAGAATGATCGTAGTCGGGTGACAGTGGTCTGAGAGACCATAGTCAGCAAATGACGGAGGTCGGAAAGACCTTAGTCGGGGTAAACGGAGGTTCGAAGGACTGTCATTGGTGGACAATGGAGGTCAGAAAGACCATTGTTTGGCGATGGAGGTCAGAAACACCATAATCATTGAGTGATGGCGGTTAGAAAAACCATTGTCTGGCGATGGAAGTCGCAAGAATCATAGTTAACAGGTGATGGTGGTCATAAAGACTATTGTCTAGCGACGAAGGTCAGAAGGTTCGTATTTGGCGAGCGACGGTGGTCAGAAAGATTGTTCCCTGGCGACAGAGATCAAAAGGATAGTAGTAGGTGAGCGACGGCGGTCAGAAAGATCATTGTTTGGTGATGGAGGTCGGAAGGACGTAGTCACCAGATGGAGATGGTAAGAAAGATCATTGTCTAACAACGAATGTCAAAAAGTTGTAGTCGGCAGGCGATTGGTCAGAAAGACTATAGCTGGGGATGAAGGTCAGAAAGACATTAGTCGGGCAAAGGTGATCATAAGGACCATAATTGGAGGGTGACGATGGTCAAAAATATCTAAGTAGGATGGCGAGGATGGCTGAAAGGAAATATGGCGACCACCATCCGATGACAATTGGTGATCGGACGGAAGTTTGGAGAAAGTTCGACGATGATCGGTGGTCATGCATAAATACAGCGTTAGTTGGTGACCGAGCAGAAGTCTAATGACAATCGGTGGCTTGGCATAAGTTTGGCGACAATTGGTGGTCGAGTGGGATTTTGGCCACAAATGGTGGCCGGGTGGTGGTCGAAGAGGAGCTTGGTGGCAAAAAAAGATGTCAGATTGCTCTTCCTCTCCTCTCTCTCTCTCTCTCTCCGCCCCCGCCTCCAAATAAAAAGAAGAATGAGAGGTCTATTTATAGTTTTCTAGGACACGGTCAATAAATAGGAAAAAGACAAATGGCATGTTGGGAGTGGTTCGAATGAATGACTGATATTGATTCCCTTTATCAATGATAGTTTATGGAGCATTTGAGTGCCTTAATGATGTTAGAATTCATTGATCTTAGGCTCGTTGGATTCATCTCGTTTATCCGCTCGATTCTATTATAAGCATGGCGCATTTGAAAAACATTTTGTGATCCAATTTTTTGTTTGAATATTCCAATTGCGATTCAGGCCCTTGATTTGGACCCATTTGGGCTCGGATTGGATTGAATTTGGTATCGTTGGGTTCATCTTTCATGACATTCACTTCAAGTAAAAGTTTGTTGAAATCATAGTTCGGTTCATCCCGGATTTAATTTCAAAAGTTTTCAATCTAAATTGCATCAAAACTCGTGCCCGATCATAGAAATCTATGCATGAGATATAAGAATGCTTAACAATGCCAAACCAAGAAGATCTGCCCAATATTTGATATTTCAGCTGCTGTGGTGTCTCAGAGTTGCAGTTTTAGAAGGAAAAATCACTTTATTTGCAGAAGTTATTAAGCTTAGGAGTACGTTTGGGCAGCTTTTTCATTGTTTGATTTTGAATACAGCTTTTATATTTTTGTTCGGCTAAAGCAATAAAAAAGTCGTCCCAAACGAAGCCTAAGTCTTTCACACACAATCAGAACTCTAAATCGCCTTCCCCAACGAGATCTCTTCACAATTCTTCCCAACTAGAATCCGTTGCGACTTGTCGTGACCATCTCTTCATTTTTGAGGGTTATGAGAAGGTCTTTAACATTAATAAAGTATTATATTATTAAAATTTAGGAGTTAAATATATAAATATGATGATTATAAATTTTTTTTTTGTGATAATTATATATGCTTTGTATGTAAATTCCTTCAAATTTTTTTGTTTAGGAAAAGCCTTTTGCAACTATATGTGTCAAGACTACAATAAAAAAATTGTAATTTTTTTTTTCTTTTTGAAAAGGAAGAAATTTATAACATTTCAAAAAAAAATCCGAAGAATAAAAAAGAAAAAAAGTTTTTAAAGGATAATAGCAAAATAACTCGGAGATAGAAACGAAACCAATATATCTCAGACAAAATAGAAATGTGGAACATAAATATATTTATATAATTGAAAAAGAACAATTTTTCTCAGAATTTGTACAATTGCATTTTCTGAAAGTTGAAAAAATAATTAAAATACATATTATTCTAAAAGAAAAAAAAAAACATTTCAGGGGATAATTGCCCACCCTGAAATCTTCCTAGTTCCGTCTGTATTGAAGAGGAAGCCTCTATTTAAATTTACAAGGTTCCATAAGAGTACTTGAGATTAATAATAATAATAATAATAATAATAATTAGGTGAATGTGAGTTCATACTTTTTATCTGGTCCGATGAACGTACGTAGAGGTACGTTCGGCCGGCACTGAGATTGCGCCACGTAGCAGGCAGAAAACGAGAAATACCGAGCAAATACCGAGCAATACCAACAATAACGAGAAATATCATTATGTGAAGACAAAATACCGAGCAATACCGAGTAATACCGAGTAATAACAAAAAATACCAAGTTTTTTCTAGAAAAACTAGATATTTTTTGGTATTACTCGATATTGCTCGGTATTACTCGGTATTGGTCTTCACATAGCGGTATTTCTCGTTATTACCAAGCAATACCTAGCAATACCGAGCAAATACCGAGCAAAAACCGAGTAACTCAGTGATGACCGAACGTAGAGCTACTCTGATCAGAGGACCTAATAAAAGTTCTTCGATAAGAGGGGGAATTCCTTAAAATATATTTGTGCTAATTCAGTTTTTAGTGTTAGTCGGTTCGTTAGCCACTCTAATACTTAAATTTTAGAAAATGGGCTGATTGTTCTAGTTGCTTGCTTAGTTTGTATGGTAATGGGCTTTTAATAGACTGGGCTTTGAGCTTGAAATATTGTTTTGTTGCCCTTGCTTTTGGTTCTGGATATATTTATTCCATTCGGGCCTATAGTTTGGAGTATCTGTAAATGGGCTTAAATGGTCTTTTTGGTTTTGAAATGCTGATCTGATAAGAATTTGTGGAAAGTTAGGTATCTTTTTATAGTTTGTGTTCAATCTTGATAGAAGCTTTTGCATAAGAATTAAATATTTTTAAACAAAAAATACAAGAGTTAATGATTTGGCTTAAAGTAATTATGTGATTTGTAGGTTTTATAGAACT